TGGGTACCAGCTGGAACACGTAGTATTAGCATGGTGTGAAAATGATAGTGACGCTAGATGAATTAGCTTTAAGCTTCTTTCTCGCTAAGAGAGAACCTATTATTATAACAAATATTTACATACATTTGTATTATTTGTAAACTAGCGCTAATACAAAACTCCAATTGTCCCTTGACACGCGAAACAAGATCTAAATATCCATCTCCTCCCTCCCCCACCCCCCTCCACTCGCCCTCCTCATCAACTCTCCCCCCCCCCTTCCTCTATAAACCTGCCCCCCCTTTTACCGTTTCGCTCGCGCTCTAGCGGGCGCTCTTTTTTGTAAAACTAGTTTGATTTCTTCGTTCTGAGATCTGTAATCTTGCTCTATAACGTTTCGTCTATATATCTCTCTGTATATCGGGCCTTTCCTCCAATTGAAAAAAAAAAGAAAAAGAATAAAATAAAAAGAGGAAGAGACGAGAACAAGACCTTACCTATCCCGACATGCTTCTCATAGTGTTGGATGGTAACGTTTACAAGACAAAAGGGAAAAAAAAACGTTAATTGAGCATTGTTATCTATGTAATACAACATAGGATGTTTTGTATTATATTTTCATAATAAATAGAAACGTAGAAAAAAGACGTATTAACCACACTCGTGTCATTTTATCACTCAACACCCACCCGTATCGTACCTAATTCCTTTTATCTTTTATTGTTGTGTCTCTTACGAAAATAATTATTATCGAATTATAAAATATATAGTCTTTGCGTTTATTTCATCAATCAATCGTATAAGAAGTTCACAAGAACTCTACTTATAGGAACAGACTAATTTACTCATATTAAAAGATTTTAATTATAGAACAACAAATAGGACACAGTTTTCGTTTAAATTAAATTAAATCTAAATCTGATTAAATAAATTTAGTTCAAGAACTACTTACAATTAGATTATGCTTTTAAAGATTCAGTGCGGAGAAACTCAAAATATTCGGTGGAATGCAAGTCCAAATATTCCATCAAGTCTATGATAATCTTTTAATCTTATCGACTTTATTTTTGGACACAAAATATAAGCCAGCAGAAAGCAAAGGCTCTCTCGATTATAGCGCGTGTGAAAAGCGGTATACGTGAGTAGGCCAGGTAAGCCCATTACAAAGGGTTGCGATCGATTTTGTCGTTCGACATAGTCAATGGTGAATGCGCACGATAACCAACGCAGAGGAAAATAGACTGTATTTTCAATGCTCGCCCATGTCGAACGGCATTTCTCGGAAAATTTGCAGCTTTCAACTACACAAGAGGAATTAGGACATAGACAGCGACGTCAATATGTCAAACTTTAACGTGTTCCTTCAACCAGCTGAATGCAGATAATCAAATAAATTTCAAAAATATCGCGAATACAAAATTATTGAATTTAGGGAAAAAATCTCCATTTTTACTTTCCTAAATTCTTCAAACTCTTTTTTATCACATGGAATATTTTAAAATTATTATATTTTGGTTAAAAGAAATACGTTTTACACTAATAAAATTGGCAAAACATTTCTATATAATGATCCTCATGGATTATTCGCTAAAAAATCTAAAGATCCTCCATTTTTCTCAGAGTCTTAATGTTTAAAGAACATACATCTGGGAATAAAAATAAATCATACCTCATAATAAATCAACCTTCATCGCTTCACACTGATGCCAGATTTCATAAAATTTATTATCCAATTCGCGGATAATGTACCGCAGCCTTCAAGCGAAAGCCGAAGGAAGGCTTTAGAGAGATGAAACTAGAGCAACGTAGGTTTCAGCTAAGCGGGCCATGTATCGAGCTTGATGTTCAGGCACGTATTACCTGATATTCTAGCACGTATTATTGGCTCAAGCTCGAGAGGCTCCGCGAAATCTATAGAACCGGTCACGTATCGGCTCTTTCATTATAAAGCAACAGCTTCCATACCCTTTGGCTAACAAGAATAAGTACACGGACGTGTTGAGCTTCGTTCGGCTTTCTCCTCGATCTAGGATAAATTCCGCACATTTACATCCAGCTTATAGCTGCACGCGGGCGAAATGAAAACTTTTATGCAATTTCAAATTTCGGCTCGTTACGCGGCGATCTTACCGTTTCTCTCGTTCGATCTAAGCGCATATACGACGTCAAGTGGACTGTAGAATATGTAAAACGATAATAATTGGCTATATCGAATAATGTCTCTAAGCGGAAGGGAGGGCTCCCTTGACCTTACACGTGTTCTCCGTTCCGTGCAAAGACAAATTATACACTTGCAACGGAGGCGCCACGAAATTTATCGCGGCTGATAAAGATGGCAAACAAGTGAGCATAAATAAATCATATTGTTGACGAAATGAGGCGGCGCCGCTGTGCTTACATATGAGCGCGATAAAAGATCATATTGATGCCGAACATAACGTGGCGCTATGTAACAAATAAACCATTCTGAACAATGGTCGCCAATTCACAAACTAAAAATATATCACGCCACTCGCAATGTCATCGCAATTTTTCCATTAGACGCGGTGCATGTTTTCGTTGTAAAATCAATATGACGAAATGACAGCCTCTGCTCATATCGAATATGTACGATATTTATTTACACACATCTTTACTCCTTGATTTCAATTTGCTGAATACCCTTTCACGAGATTTATTGGCAATTATAAAACAACTGTATTTCTGTTTAAATGCAGAATTATTAAATTATCGTATAAAATTCCGAATTTAATATGTTTCTCCATCGTTTGTATCCAACAATCGTCCGACGTCAAAGTAACAATGAATAATTAATCGTCTGTAACGGAAATAACACTTAAGCGGCGAATGGATCGAGCGAAACGTTCGTTCGTTAAATGAGAGGTCGAGCGCGTTTTATGCTTCTTCGAATTATCTCCTTCAATGGATATCATGCCCCGAATGCGCGCCGATTGGCCGCAATCTGGGAGAACAGAGGCAGATTAACCAGAAGGATTTATGTTACCAGTCGCGAAAGTGTACAAAGTAGGACAGTGTCATCCGTAAATCATACTTAGCATTTGAAAAATCGAGACTAAATAAATGTCAAGTACTATTTTTGTCATTACACCCTTAAAAGTCACAGTGATTTTCGTGAACAGCGGAGGAGGAATCGACGATACGTCGTCGTAAATAATACAGCGCGAAACTACGCACAATGCAACAGCGGCGCAATGGCAATTTCCAGAGAGAACGTCAAATCAATCAGCGAGGAAAATCTGGTACGTGATCCCAGGAGAAAACGAAGGATCGATGTGAAAAATTCACGTGAGCGTTCCATATCGCAATTACGTAATTGCACGCGAATAATAAAGTAGAAAATAGAGGAATATAAATAGGAGCGTTCTCGAATTCTTTTCCTACAAATGTGACCTAATTCTAAGCTGTATTTATCTGTCATAAAGAATACTTTCAATTTACTACAAGCGGAAAATATATACACGATCGCATTACAGTGTTAAATCTGAGATGTGAATAGGAGCCTAAGTATACATGTAGACTCAGATCATCTCTATGTATAGTGATCAAACACATGGAATGTGTTTGCAATCCTCGTTTACATTATTTCAACATCTGAATACAGCTATCAGGTTGATCGTTTGCTCTTGTAAAACACGATATCAGAATGAAATTTAGTTCAAGTACACGCAAACTTGAAGTTTAATCTAATTTGAAAACATGGGAAATTAACAGTGTCTCAGTTTCTAATCCGTAAAATTTCTATATACCTATAAAAAAATTTGTCAATTTTGCTAATTCCATTTTTCGTATATTATATAGTATTGAATTAATCGGAAAATTATCAAATTTGAATCTAAATTTATGACAAATTTATGACAAATTATAGACAAATGTTTATATTTATGTCATTGTGCCTCAAAATGTCAAACATGTATTTTTTTCCAGTTGAGATGCGGCACAACAAGCGCAGAAGGTACGTTCCGCTTAATACTTCGCCATGACACAGATGAGAAAATTAGCCTCTTAATTAATGGCTGCAATTTATCTCGTGGGTAATTCGCGCAGGAAAAATGCTCGTGTAAGCATGATAAATACCTTAACAATCACTAATTCAGAAATTTCCAAACCAACGTCTAAATAGAATACAGAAAATTGAGTAAAAATATCACAAAAATTTAAGAATATCATATATCTATAAATTATTGAATTAATTTTTTTTATTGCCAACAATATAATGTTAAAAAATATAAAATTACCTTGATACCAAAAATACGATAAAGTACGATGTGCAAAAAATAAAATTTGCCATATTAAATAAAATTGATTTCAAGAATTCAAAAAATACATGTAGAAGTTGTTAAGGCATTTATGATGTTTGGTGTACCTTGAGAGGCGTCGCGACGCGCGATTTCTTGGCGACAGACGAAAAAACTTCCTTGTCGTCGGCCCCCCCCTTGGTTGCCTCTTGTCGCAATCGACGTGTTTGCTCATGATCTCTCAAGATCGAGAGAAATCTGACCGATATTCATTGTTCTGAGAGGAGCAATGAGAACGCTTCCATTACTGATTAGAGTGGTAGATCGAGCGGCAGCGAACATTAACGTGATCGGTGAAATTCCCTCGAAATTTCGCGGCGCCACGGGAGCAGAATTTCAACGGACAGCAAGTAACGTGCTTTAGAGACTCGTATCTATCGCCTAAGGTCGACCTATGTTGTCTGTTAATGACGTAATCGAAACGATCTTGCGAGATTAAACGCGCGTGGAGATCCAGTCGATTGCATTTGGACGGACATGAGTCAGTAAAACGGATTTCTGGGGCAACAACAAAAGGTCATATCGTATTTCATAATATTTATACACTTTCCTACTTTCTTCTCTTGCCTCAATTGACACGCACCGACCATTGGGACATCTCGCCAAAATTGGATAAGAAGAAAAGTTGGCTATATCATACAAATATATGTAGGTATAAAAAGAAATAATTTTCCAATTTTCACATTTACGCGCGTAATCATAATTCATGCTAGAATTCATACATACAAATGAATAAAAATACATATTCAAAATCCGTATTCATTATTCGTTGAATACATTTTGTCCAAAATTGCGAATGTTACTATGTGAAATAAAAATAATTTTTCATGTACGTACGCGCGCACTGATCACGACACACTGATTGACTACAACTGACACTTTGTGACGTAATATCTCGCCGTAATCGATTCTTACCAATTGTCACTTTATTTCGTCAATTCAACAACACACATAGAGAGAAGATTCGGAGATACCGGCGAATTGTACACTAAACTTGTTTATTATCATCCACACGACGGATTGCGATAGAGTGTCAGCGCACTGGCAACGTATCTGTTCTTTTCGCGCGATTTGTTTCACAGCACGTGACATAACGTTGATATCAGAGAATAAATACATTACATCGTGTGTAAATCTTTGAATTCTTTACATGTAGCAAGAAAACATATTTACTACGCTAGCGCACGTATATTGCAAGGAAGAGCGTGTCGCATTACGCGTTCGTTTATCGCCGCGCGTAGCTCGCGGCCACGTGCGCGTTCAATTAATTATCGAATCAGCAGTTGGCGCGAGTACAGTGAAAAGTTCGACTGATCGGATCGCTAATTCGACTACCGATGCATTCGTTCTCGCGGTGCTCTTTCTGTGTTCTTTTTACTTTCTTCGATGAAAGCTATTGATCGGATGTTGTGGTAAGTAAACGAACAAAGATTATTAAATCGGTGTGAGACAATGCCTAACAATTGTGTGTTTCTATACTTAAAAAATATCGATATAAGTTTACATACGATATCGAGATATATAGAAAAACTCGCACAACATTTCACTTTTTCGTTAAATATCTTTTTCACAATTTAACAATTTTATATTTTATAAGATTTAATTACTTTGATTAGCTATTTTTTTAATAATAAAATATATTCTTCGTCATTTTCAGAGTTTTTTAAATATTATATGAGAGACATATTGAAATATTGAAATAAATAATTTAAATATTGATATCTTTTGTTTCATAAACAAAATCACCATCTGCTTATCAAATTTCACTTTCAAGATGTATTTATAAAAAATGTTGCGTTTTACAATTTTTAATTTTTAATTATATTAACATTCGATATAATATTTCAATATGTCTCTCATATAATATTTAAAAAAATTCTGAAAATGACGAAGAATATATTTTATTCCACTCTTAAAAAAGGCATGATATTAAAAAAATAGCTAATCAAAATAATTAAATCTTATAAAATATAGAATTGTTAAATTGTGAAAAAGATATTTAATAAAAAAGTCAAATATTGTGCAAGTTTTTCTATATATCTCGATATCGTACGTAAACTTATTTGTATAATTTAATACTATCAAATAATTTCAAAATTTTATTCATATTCCACGGTTCCGATATAATTAACTAATGTACAACATATATAGATAACCTATCACTATTTTCCCATTTCATCATGCACTGTTCGTTTAGCAAAATATCGCCTCCGGTTATTGTACACAGCGTTAATTGACGTTTAGGAGGCGTATCTATTGGTATGATATCAATCGTCTCTTTTTCGCAATCATCATCTGTTTATTCATTACCCCACAGTTCAATTAGTAACGCCCGACTAAATGTCAATAAGAAAAGTAAGCCATCAGATGACAGAGATGCGTATTATCGTCAGAAAAAATATTGAATTAGGATACCGGCCAATTACAAGTACGGACCAGTTACATCGCAGGCATGCGTTTAGTTATCAGATCTGCGTTTAGTTATCAGATCTACAGTCTGTGAAAGTTCGCTTATCATACTGCAAGTAGACAGAAGCAGTGAATAATCGTCGGTTTCCAAGATACTTCAAGAGATATTTTTTACAATGTCAACAGGTGAAATATAATAATTGTAATACCATCGAATAATTGATTGTCAATTGCGATAATGACAACTGACAACTGTTATTATTTAAGATATTGTTAAAAACAAATATAATGTTACGCTCAGTTCTCAGTATACTGCTCTCACAATTCTGTTTAATTGCGTGCAATTTAGAATAAAAAGTACTGATTCTCAAAAGATTATTAACTATTTCATGAGTTTTAAATTAAACTCATTTTGTATGTTTATAATAAATCGCTTTTTTTTAATCACTCTCTAAATAACAAAACTTTCTATTTCAAAAAATTGCAGATTTAGTCAAATAATAAATTTTTGGAAATAGTCGATAATTATTTATTGCCACCATTTCTTTTTTAATATTATAAATAATTGTATATGTGTATATCAACTAATTTTTATCAATCAATATTTATACACTTAAAATTTCTATTTCACAATCCTCTACACGTGTATCTCTTTTTAAATGTACGTTGCAACGTAATTTTTCCCAAAAATAACTGGTTCAAATATTTTTATCGATATAACTTGTCGAGTGCTCGAATCAAACAATCCTGTCATATGATTCAATCGCGTTATCGTTTACTCGATCAATTTCTTCTGGAAACGCCAGCTGCGTGCCATGCGAACCTAATCTCCACACAATACTCGCTTTGGTTTACATCGAACAAACGAAATTTGCTTACGCCAACCTTAACCTGATGGAAAATTTGCAAAGTAGATTGCATTTACCGTTTACTGGAGCTTTTTGCCAATTACATTGCGCGATTAAATTAAACTATTCAAATTCACATCATTAACCACAAGAACTGCGTAATGCACACGTGTATAAATGTAAATAATTGATATTTAATCTGTAACATGACAAATGGATTTTATTTCAATTTTTTTCATATAAGATTTTTCATATAGATTATAATTAATTCTGCTTTTACTCATAACTTTATTAATAGTTTATTTCGTATAAAGTAATTCTTTATTTTATGTAATTAATTTTAAGCTTACTTTGAACAATCCATAATTAACAGTAAAATTAGAAATAGAAATTGATTTATCATTTAATATAATAGAAAACATTCAAATAATCGAAATAAATATAAACTGCAAATATATATTTTATATATGTGTGTATTGTGATTTTTCAAATGTTCCCTACAATACATGCCACATAAAATTACAAATAAAATTTTATCTCCAATTCCGAAATGAATTTCATGAATTATAAATCATTTAAATGGGCTGTAAAATCTGATCAAAATTTCACGTTTAATTTAAATTTAATATCCATTTCGAAATAATCTGCCTTTACACATTTTAATATCAGCATAAAAATTATCCGTTATCCTAAATCATGCGTCTAAAAAATATATTCCAAATTACACTTGTTAAAGACAGCTTTGTTTGACAGCGATAATGATGATAACCTATTTGGTCTATTAATTAGCTCGCATCTGTCGAAGATACATGATAACGCGGACATACGCACGGAGAATGCGATCTCACCCAATTGTTACTCGTTCACAGATTACTTGAGCGACGACATGTCGACAACTGCCCCAGAATTGATGGTCAGACGACCGGTCTACCAGCAGGACGAGCTTAATCACTTGTGCAAATACGTAAAGCCCAAGAGAACCCGTAAGTATCAAGATCCACCCGCGGCAATGTAGACGCAGGTAGACCGATTATTTTCCTTTCACTCCGCGCTTGCCTTTTACTTCGACACGCCGCGTTTCCTTAAAAAATTACTTACACGCAACAATCTATTCAAAACATTAGCAACTACATTTTAAGTTATTAGTAGAATCAGTTGAAGTTAACAAATTCATTAGAGTTAACGTAACAGAATTTCCAGATAAAGATCTTCTCGAAAAACTAAGTGGCATCACATTTTTCAGCAAATCCGTGTAAAAGTTAAATTGCAATATTTTTCAATAAAAAACTCGATATGTTTGGAAAACCTAGCGCAAAATTTCTTTCAAAAAATAAAGTCTATTTTGAAAAAGCAAAATATTCTCATCTGTTTTTGAAGTTTTTGAAAGAGATATACTGCGTGTTAGAAAAATTAATGAAATATACTTATTGTAATTGTTTCCTATTGTTATCTTGTAGTTAGAAATGAAGTGACAAAACGATGCAAGAAGATCAAACCGATTGCACTGTTAAAAAAAACGATACCTCTCACCGACTGGCTCTTTTCTTACGACTGGAAGGATAACATTTTAGGAGATATCGTCGCCGGAATTACCGTGGCGGTAATGCATATTCCTCAAGGTATGTTGTCTTAAATAATAAATTGAATTATCGAGAAATAAGCTGGGTGAATCGAGAAATAAGGAATCCTAAATTAGAACTGAAGACATTCCGCAACAGGATGCTAGAATTTCCGCCTACAGTATTGAATTTTATAGATTGCCTGATATATTCGTAGACTACAAGGTTGAGACACAAGGTTATTATGATAAAGGAAATTGACTTTCTATAGACTTTTTTTATGATTTTCTGACTCGCAAAACAGCAGCCAAAAATATCGATGTTATCTCTATAAAATTTCATCTATTTTATAGTACTATGCATTTATTGAAATACTATTTCTGCTTTCATTATATATTTGTCAAAATGTATGTATTATGATGATTTGCTTTTATCGCATAGAAAAAATAAATTTGTTTTTTCACTGGAAAAAAATATAATGCTTATATTAAATCGACATTATTTTTTTTAGGTATGGCGTATGCGATTTTGGGCAATGTTCCACCGATTGTCGGTATGTACATGGCTTTCTTCCCGGTTTTGGTGTATTTTTTTCTCGGCACATCCAGACACAACTCTATGGGTAGGTGTTATTTCTGCTTATAGATCTTATTTTTAAAAATTGCTAAAAAAAAAAACAGAAACGTGCTCTGTTCACTGGGATGATTTAATGCGCTAAAAGTCGTCTTGTTTAAATTAATGTGAAACTTTGCGTTCACGTTTATTCAGAAGTTACATTCGACTGCCATTTAATTCAGAGAGCCTCATAATTAAGCAGAATTGCCATTTCTATATTAATTAAGGTACGTTCGCGCTCGTCTGCATGATGACTGGAAAAGTCGTTACCACATACAGTTCCGCTACAGTTTCGATAAATAACACGTCAACCGAGAATGGTACCTTAATTTCCAACGTAAGCCATCAATACTCGCCGGTGGAAGTTGCAACCGCAGTCACATTCACAGTTGCCGTCATACAGGTAAACCGTATCGTATACAGAATCCAATATCGTTTAAATTTTTTACAAAGATGCACTTCTAGATGTGATGTTTTATCGCACTTCTAACCTTTTATTTGCTACATCTGCTTTGTCAGTTCCAAGCCACGTAAAGTTATTTTTTATTCATTGATTTAATTCAATAATATGTAAAGTGCTTGCATACGAAAAATTAATTCTGGATTAAGAGCCGCCTCTCTCGATAATATTGGTACAAAAATATTACGGATGATAAATATTTTCGCACTCGCACCAACGATGTGGCCACCAACTCATATTTGCCTCTTAATCCAGAATTATATTGATTTATTTAATCCGAAAAAAACGCACAGAAACCGACAGTTTTTACATCAAATTTGTAAAGCTTATTGATTTTTCTTATTATGGATAAAGTGATTTACTTTCTTTTTAATAAATATTCCCGAAGGATTTATATTTTTTAATCCCATTACAATATTTTCGAATCTTCGAATGTAGAAACGCATGCGTTTATGTTTTTCGTTCACGCTTTTCAAAATTAATTAGTACATTTAAATTCAATGTAAATTTTCAATTCATATTTTAATATTTTTCCTCTATGCATTAGTTTTTTAAAAAGCATTCCATTTAGAAAGCTATATACATTTAATATTCTCTGTCCATTTCAATTTTATCATCCCTTAACGTCTCATAATATTGTTCAAAATCTCTTGTCTAGTTAGGAATGTACGTGCTGCGTTTGGGCGTGATCTCATCTCTCCTCGCGGATAGCCTCGTGAGCGGATTCACTACTGCAGCGGCGATGCACGTGTTTACATCGCAAATAAGGGACCTCTTCGGACTGAGCGACCTGCCGCGACGCAAAGGTGCATTCAAGCTTATTCTCGTGAGTACAGTAACAACTAATTGTAAATTTTGTTTGGCGTTGCAAACATTACTCTTTTTTTAAGGCGCGCGCCGCTTCCGATAGATTTTTTCTTTGTTTGTTTTTCTTTGATCGTCAAACAAAATGTTTATACTAACTAAACAGTTACGTAATCATTGCAAACATTTCCTATATTGATATTTACATGCAATCAAGTTAGAATTTAAACACCGATAATCTGTTGTGTAATGATTATGTGATGTTGTTAAAGATCAGGGTTAGCGCATCGCGCTTCATAGCACTCGCTAAAAACTTTGAATTTTTCACAATTTAAAAACAAATTAACATGGATATAATTCTGCGGAATGAGAAAATAATTGCAAATTACATCATTAAAACAATTTTTAATAGCCGCTAATATTGATAATTGAAAGAGAATATCTCTATTTTATTATAAAAATTGAAATATAAATGAATAACACACATATGTATGTCAATTGTTTGTCGAATGTCATCGTTTTGTCAACTGGATTAATATTTTCAAAAAAAAAATTAAAAAGTCAAACGCGTTTTGATTAAAATATTTCCGTGTTAGAAAATACACGAGATACCTGAACGATTTTTTGTCATCTATTTCTCTACTGCATGCTTCTATATACGTCACGTACTATTGCGGGCTATTAGAAAAAACCTAACCAGTACGTAACAGAATTTCACCTCCGTTTATTCCAAATATGTCTATTGTATCTCTTACTCTATAATGTATGAACTGCCAGCTCATTTTAACTTTCATTCTAATAGTATTCTGATTTCACCGACGTAAATTGTTGTCTCAAAATAAATTTTTGTCTCGTTTAAAAATAATGTCGATTTAATAATGCAGGCATAAATCCAATTTTATTTACTATAATTGTGTTAAGATTTGCGTTAAAACTGCGTTAAAATTTGAATTATTAAAATAAAAACAAAATAATAATAAACTTGCATGAAATAAAACTATCACTTTTATGGAATATCTTTTGTATATCTTTTTCACGTTTTGATTTATGTTAATTATTGTTTCAACAACTTTTTTCAGACTTATGTAGATGTTTTCAACAGTCTAAATAACATCAATACAACCGCTGTAATACTATCTACTATTACTATTTTAGCGCTTATTTTCAATAACGAAGTGCTTAAGGTTGGTAATATAAATTACTTTGCGCATACATGTATCGATTATATTTTATACAAATTTGGGAAAAATAATTGTCTATTTTGAAAAGAAATAATTTGTATTTCAGCCAAAAGTCTCGAAATTATGTCCCTTCCCAATTCCGATAGAAATGCTTGCGGTGATAATCGGCACTCTGGTGTCGATGCAAATGAACCTAGCGGATACGTACAACGTGATAACGGTGGGCGATATACCAGTGGGGTAAATACGTCTTTTTTAATAATATTCAATCGATTCATTTTTCACAGCTTTTAATAAACAACTTTTTAATGCGAAAATATTATCTCGGAATGACTATATCGAAATTAACTTATTGCGTTTAAATTAAATTCATCGAAAAATCATATATTTCTTACAAAACTACAACAAGCTGTGAAAGTGAAATATTAAAATAAACTTCAAGTTTTCATAATCAAGGTTTTCAGATTGCCAATCCCGTCGGTGCCACCATTATCTCTCGTACCCAGCATTTTAATGGACAGTTTCGTGATTACCATGGTTGCTTATACAATATCGATGTCTATGGCTTTGATTTTCGCGCAAAAGATGGGCTATGAGGTCGATTCTAATCAAGAATTAATAGCACAGGTAAATTTAATTGTATCTATATTTGAAATTTTTTTAATATCAAAAAGTCAAACCGTATTAATTTTATGTAATTAGCACTCAACTTTTCTCTTTACGTATGTCAAATGCTTGCGTTTCTGCATATGCTGCCTTTAATGTCAACTTTAATCAATTAACTACTATTATATGTTTATGTAAATACATAAATGTTTGTAATATAACAAAACTGAATGTTTACAGGGACTGGGAAACCTTGTAGGCTCCTTTTTCTCCTGCATGCCAATCACGGCTTCATTATCGAGATCATTGATTCAACAAACCGTAGGTGGACACACGCAACTTACGAGCTTAATATCGTGCGGAATCTTGATCAGCGTATTGCTATGGATCGGTCCATTCTTTCAACCTCTACCACGAGTAATTTTTCTCTTACAAAACTGTTAAACAATTTTTAAAAAATATTTAGAAAATGTAACAACCAAAAATTTCACAGCAACATGACACGGTGATCGATACGCATTTGATTTTTATTGGGTGTGCAGTGTATTCTAGCGAGCATAATTGTGGTGGCATTGAAAGGAATGTTGATGAAGGTGACCGAGTTCATGAAATTCTGGAGGTTGGACAAAACGGACGCTGGCATTTGGGCCGTCACCTTCATTATTGTGATTCTTCTCGACGTCGAGTATGGATTATTAGTTGGCGTGCTTCTCTGCATCGGAAGGTTACTTGTACTCGCGGTGCACCCGTACACATGCAAACTCGCTCTAGCGCCTGGCACTGAGCTCTATTTAGACGCCAGGAGATACAAAGGAGTATGAAGAGCTCGTAATTTAAACTACTTTCCTGAATAATATATTACATTGGAATTTTTTTCGTATTGTTATGCATGTATCAGAATTTATGTTCATTCTCATGCAAATAATTTTAATTTTCAAAAAATAAATTTCAGCAAAGCTCGAGTTTTTAATCAAGTTTAATGTTCAAAGATTTTCATATAAATTAAAAAATTGTTCAAATAATTTAGCGATGAAAGCAATTTTACAAAATTTTATGATTTATGAAATATCGAAATCAAAATGAAATATTTAATCGAAAAGTAAATATTGAATATAATATTTTCAGACTGTGGAGGTTCCTGGCATTAAAATCTTTCATTATTCAGGCAGCCTAAATTTTGCGTGTAGGCAATATTTTCGTGAGGAAGTGTACAAAGTTGCAGAACTGGTGCCTCAAAAAGAACTGAATAAACGATTGAAGAGCACATGCACCGGCGCCGCGGAAGAAATTAAAAAGGTAAATGTATGCACAATTTATATTTATGAAGGATAGAAAAGCAATGATTGGATATTCATTTAAGATATAATTTCTAGATTTGCTTATTACTTTATTTTTAACTTTATTCTCGCGATCTTCTTTGTCTTACAGCTACGTATTCTTATATTGGATTTTACCGCGTTATCGCATGTCGATCTGGCGGGTGCGAATGCAATGCGAAGTATTGTCGACGAATATTGCAGAATAGAAATATCTGTTTACATAGCAGGTTGCTCCGGTAAGAACATTTAAATTAATTTTTCGAATAAACTAATACAATAATTATTACACAAAATTTCAATCAACGTCGAGAAGAATCACAATACGTCATTTTTTCCATCCAATGTCATCCACTACTTTTTTGCTTTTTCATTTTTAATACATCCTGTAGATGTAAAAAAAAGTTTATACCATTTATCACATTCTTATCGTTTTCAATAAATATAGAAATCTGCATGAGAATCTTTGCTAAAAAATACCAGTTTCAAAATTCTCGGTTTATAGATTATTTTATTTTTACTAACTTTATCTCTTATAGGTCCTGTGTACGAAACGATGAGAAAATGCAATCTAGCCGAACAAAATGAGAATCATTTCTTCGCTATGTTTCCTACTGTCGCAGATGCGGTGCATTTCGCGCGTTCTCATAACGAAGTACCGTCGACGCCTGCATGCGCTCGCATCTATGACGAAAACTACATCAGCAGACTTTGAAACCCGTACGAAAACCTGATAGAATAGCATTTGTATGGAACTCCAAGAAGTGTTTTGTAAAATGCGATACAGAACGCGATTTTCATACCTTATCAAGATTATTTATGCGCTTCGCAATGTGGCTTATTTATCTATAAAAAGTAGTAGCATTCAATGCAATAAGTATGTGCAGAGATGATTCGGTTATGCACAGACAGTATTGTCGTATGTTTGATAAAACTTAAGTTTCACGAGATTATCGAGACTCTTGTTCCGCTCAGAAAGGCGAAAATAAATTACTTAAACAATTTCCTAATCATAATTAGAATTATAAAACTTAAATGTGAAAAAGATATAAGAAATTTAAAAATTAGAAATGTTTCTGTATGTGTTAATATTTTTATAAGAAAGATTAATTGTAAATAGCCATGTCATCTTATTCTTAAGAATGAGACTAAATAAAAGGCTAAAATAATGCTAAATTAAATTATATACTAAATTAAATTTTTTAAATTTTAATTATGAAATATACTATTAAATAGGTAAAAATTCATATTTATTGCTTAATTGCCAATTTAGAATAAATTATAGTAAAAATAAAATAGCTTGAATAAATGAGCATGTGTGATGTTATTTCATTTTGTGAGATGTAATATTGATGTATAACATCATACGTATGTATGTCGCAAATTCTTAAAAGTTTAAAAATTAACCATTTTTTTGACAATTTTTCGCAAAAAAAAAAAAACATCAAATTAAATAAACTTATTATAAAATTAGATCAAAAATACATTCATGTATATTAAAATATTTTCAATGTTATCAAAATGAGAATTTTAACAATTATATGGCACATATTCACGAGTAAAAAGATAGAAAATGATGATCAGTATTTTGTGTAATTACACAAGTATAATAAATAAATTCATTTACCGATTATTGTATCCTAGGATTGCAGTTTAATCTACTCCTTACAGATTCCGCCTTAGAACTGCTTCGCTCCATCGGCTCCATTGAAGAATCCGCACACATCGATAGATATCAGAAACTCTCACTTGGTTGTATGTAGTGACAAGATTCACGCCTTTCACTTATACGAAAATCACAAATTTACGTCGTGGATTTGCCATTCGCGATGCATTTTTAAACAAATCTTGATATTATTTTTCATATCTATGATATCAAAATCTATACTCACTGACATTATAACCTATTTTAATTCACGATCACTAAATAATCGACATCAATTGCCATTAATCGCGTACATCCACGGTAAATAATACATTTCGGCAATCGCCCGTCACTTGAATCGGCACTCCCGAGAAAAATTTACACTCATTTTATTTTTAATAAAGTTAAAACACTCAATTAATTACAAAGCGTTCGTTTTCTTACGTTCCAAATATATAATTTAATTAGTTAAAATATATTTAATTCTTTGTTTGGTCCCCCCTGTAAAAGAAAAAAGAAAAAATGTCAAATTATTTATCAAAATAAATATAAATACATAAAAATAAATAAATAAATATCTCTAAAATGAAATAAATAACCTAAAATACGCATACATATTATTACAAATATAAAATAACACGCAATTAGAATAAACATATTTATATCTTGTGCAAGAAATTCACAAGGATTTCGTTAAGCAAATTTGACATAGTTACACGTACATTAAATCAATGTATTACATCTCTAAATTGAAGCCTGCAATGCTCGCGACATAGAAAAGCGCGCATTGCGACTACTAAAACAAATTTAATAGTTTCTCTTTATTCGTAGTCTGTTTTAAAATTCGCGCTGCATGATAGCCAGCACGTGTCCGCTACATCGGACTTTCGATGATACGAACAGCTGCATTTGTACACGTTCAATTTCAAGTTAGTGTGCGTCAAGTTGATGTGCGTGTGTCCAGCGTATAGCGTATGTATCAGTACGTCAGTTTCCAACCGCCACGTCTGAATATTTATTTACAATGAGTGCGTGGGTGCAATACTTTAAATCCATTCCAACGCATATGGTAAATAACAAAATGTTTGAATAATTACATTAAATGATTAACAAACTATTGTACTTTTCACAAAAAATTCAGTGTTTTAAATTCATTATGTGAGGTTAGGTTACCAAGCACCGTATGTCAATATAATTGCGACATTTGCGATTATCAAAATAATTTGCACTGTAAATAAATAAGTTTGTTAGTATTACATTTGTATCTACATCTAAATTTTTATACATATGTATTATTCTTATGTTTTTAGCAAAATTTTATGCATTTATGCTGTTTTAGGATTACGATGGTCAAGCTAGAGCTGAGAAATTGTCAAGAGTCATCATAACATTATTTGGTGTAAGTTGTCATTTTGTAGCTATGTATACATGAATAATAATCATCGATAATTTTATCATAAAAACTTATTGTTTTTACAGGTCGTTGGCCTAGTCTGGGGATATGTCATTCAACAATTCTCACAGACTATCTATATTTTGGGTGCCGGTTTTGTTATGGCAGCGTTAATTACTGTACCTCCATGGCCTATGTACCGTCGCAAACCATTAGAGTGGCAAAAGCCACAATCTGAAGTTACAACCAAACTCAAAAAGAAAAAATAATCGTGAAATATTCTTGTGGCACCATAAATGCAACTTAATACGATAAAATATTGTGGAAATATTCAGAGATATGAATCTGATTGCTGAAAGTGAAAATTTATATGCATTACTGAGCATTTGTCTTCATGCATTTGTTTTTATAAGATTATAAATATTTTTAATGTCTGAATGGAAGTACATCAGAACAAGTATGAATGTGAGACATTTCTTTAACATATATGTATTATTTGTATATTAATATCTATTGATTATACAAGTGCAAATAGCAAATAAATATAAATAGTGATATGTGAATATGAACCGAAAAGAAGAATCAAAGAAGTTAAGAATCAAATATGAAATCTACCATCAATCAATTATATACAACAAAAATAGCTTTATTTTTCCTTCCTTTATATATTCTTTATGTAATAAAATTATAGCATCAGTACCTATTTCCTTTTCACGTTTGATTATCAATTTAATATAATTTGGAATAAAAGCAATATATAAGTAATACATAAAAAAATAAAATTTGTAAAAACAATTTAACAAAAGTCACGAAAAATTTCTTTACTCAGAGTGAACTATTTTAGAGCATTTCATAAATACACGTAAGACACAATTTGTATTCGTTGTACTCTATAAGTACAAAAAAATTACAAGTCACCAAAGCGCACACATATAATCACTTTACTTATATCGCTGGCCTTACGTTACAGGCGGTTACATAAAAATGAAAAAAAAATAAAAGTGAACGTAATCGTTATATCTGCAATCGTTTCACACTGGGTGATAGCGTTTCCCTTCCGCAACGGAACCACTCTTATATAATCTCCCATTCCATAAAAAGTGGTAGCCACCGATCGGATATCACCTCGCTCGCGAACCGCCGGTCAATTATGTGTCCTTTGCGATTACGGCACACCACCATCTCGATTGGACTCGCTGGACTTGTTCCAACGTATGACTTTCATCGATCATGCTATCTATTTTCTCCGATCGCGCGGACTGACCGGGTCATCATTTCCCTCAAAATCACCGCGCCAATTGACTTTCACAAGCGGCTTTGCGCAAAGATAGTAATTGTCGTAGCATAGAGAAAACAACAGCTATGTGCTTAAACTTAAACTTGTTAACATTTAAATGCTTCTCTCTTTTTTCATATGTAACAAAAATTGCAAATTATAAAAATTTTTAAGTTGTTATATATACTTTTTACACACTTGACAAAATTGAATAAAATAATATATTAAAATTAGTATAAGTAAATCTATTTAAAAAAAATTTTTTTTAATCTCAATATATGTTACAAATATTAAAGTCTTTTGCATTTTATATGTTTCGTTAAAAAAAAGAATTAATAAAATTTTATTTAACTTACAGAGAGAGAGACAAAGAGAGAAAGAAAGAGAGAGTTTTGTAAAATCTTAAAATCTTAATCACTTTATTTCAAGTATCGTAAAAATTTCTTATTAAATTATGTGCTTTTCTCCGAGAAAATATGTACACGCATATTCTCGATCATTAAGTTCAAAATGTACGAAGAATTCACATCAGTGAGTGCACATAATGATACAAAAAAGTTATGCACTCTTTTACGGTATCTCTTATGTAATCAAAATACCGGATATATATTGATAAGTTCATTCGTTCGAATGTCCTCGATCGCCTTTTATTTTCTTTCCTTTTTTCTTTTTTTCCGATTACGCGTCCACCTGCTCCGTACTGAGACAGTTGTATGTGTAAGAAGGGTTACGAAACGCTTTCTCCCTGTATGATGAATATTTTAAGTATGCAACTTGCACCACTTCCTGTAACGCCGACCAGTCCGGGATTTGGAAAAAAAAGAGGACGTAATTATAGTGGAGCGTTCAATGTACAACGCGGCCTCGGTCGTTACCTTGGTCTTAACACTGAATGGTTTGTTTAGGGAATTTCATAATTGACTTGAAAGCGGAAAATCTAGCAAGAACGATAATAATCTATGCAACGTTTTGTATGCCAAAAAAGTAACCACAGAACAAGGAATATCTACTGTTTTTTTGAAAATTAATTCATAACTTTGAGAGAAATTATGTTATTTTATAATATAAATAAAATAAGCTTAGCATATTAAATATCATTTACCGAAATTTAATTATTTAATGGCAGAGAATTTTATAGTAACTATAAAATTATTATTACAATTATAATTAAAAATAAATATAAAAAATTAATTACAAATAGTAATTGTGTTTATAATTGTCATATCAAAATCCGTAGAAAACACAGAAAAGTGTAAATTATTGTATCTTAATGATGATCTTTGTCCATTTTGAGTTTTAATTGCGTTAAATTTTTTCGTTGTTGTGAAATTAATTTTAATAAATGATTAATTAATGCACTAAATAGATACTATCTAAGTCTCTTTCTTTCTTTCTCTTTTTATATTACGGAAGAAACTATAAATTATAATTAGGAGGAAATCTGACGTAGCGATTGTATGTGTACGACGCATCATTTATTTACGCATTAAACAAATAGAGATATTTATCGTGTTCGTGTTCGTGTTTGCAAACTTTCGCTCGTCTAATATGAGGTTGCTCTTAAAAGTAACAGGCAAATTACGTCGTGAATTAATTTTCCCCGAAATTCCAGATACGTATTGGGAAGGTCGCGCGTTATATCATCCGTGATTGTGACTATGTATATATTCGCGACACTTAAATAAGATGAATAATCGAATTTACATATCAACTTTTTACGAATTTAATTTAGAATCAAATTTCTCTCTGAAAGCAGAAGCCGTTTAACGACGCAATACGTGAAATCAGCATAAATTGTAAGAAAAATTTATTAGTGCAAAAATCCGATAATATATATAAATAGATATATTTCTATTAAATATATATATATACATATATATATATATACTTATACATATAAATATATATATGTATACGTATAAAATAAAATATTCAATGAAAATTGTCTGCACAGATCAATTTGTTTCGCTTCGCGTGATATAACAAAGATTTCCTGCTATTTTTATAATACAATTTTCCGTATAATTTATTGTACGAGTTACCAAAGAAATTTATGTTTTCGGGTTTTTGTGCACTCTCACTATTGCGGAAGCATTTCTTCAGTAAAAATTATATCATATCAAATAATTAAAACACGGAATTACATATAATATATCAATAAGCAGATAATAAGAATATCACACAATAAAATAATAAGATAAATATTAGAATAATATTAATACAATATATAATATAAAATTATATCTAAAAATATTTATTTTATTTATAATATATATTAAAATATCGTAAAAAATTATTCATATATCTTATAAAACAGAGCAATATATTCAATAAATAATTCACTGCACACGTTACACTAAAAAATTTAAATGCGTTAAAAAAAGAGATTGTTTAGCAATAAATTTATCAAAATAATACGATAAATAATTCTGATAACATTGTTACATCACGGCAAGCCACAATTGTTGCAGATTCACACACTTATATAAAATGTTTCAAGGAATGTTATTTCGTTCGAAACTATCAAAAATTTGGCGAACAACCCGAAGAATGAAAAAAAATTGCTGAAATCACGCGATCACAACCTTGCACAAAATTCGACCGCACGTGCAGATCCGCCCGTGTCCGTATTCACGCACCACTCGAGGCGCGGTTTACACACCGTACGCACATCGAAGAGTTATGCAGCTGCGAAACGAACGTAACGCAAGCCTTGCGTTTCCTTGCTTTTACATAACCGGGATCCCAAGAGCCATTTTGCTCTCCCACCCTGTGCAATTTCACCGGGTGGTTTTGGCCATCGCCGTGTTCTGTCCTTTATAAGCGGACATCCCTGACGGTTAAAACACAGAATCGTATCGACACAGTTCGTTAACACATCGGACAATCGTCGCCGTGAATTTTTCTAAAGTAACTCGATCGATTAAGACAAGGCAAGCCGAAGATGCGCTCCCAAACAATCGCTGTGAGTAATTTATTATAACATATATATTATTTTATTGTATTTAAAATTTTTTTACTTTCAAAGTGTTTCTTTATATTATGTTCGTCAGTGATTTTAATAGCAATACATAAATCACATAAAACAAATTAGGAACGTATTGCTTTTGCAAGTCGTACGCGAATTCTGTGATTACTCTAAATAAATTCTTTCAGATGGTCTCACGTCATTAAATTGAATTTTTAAAGTTTAGACGATTTAAATAAGTTAGTTTAAGTAAGACGGATAAGTAACAATTATTTTTTTAAATGCATACTTATTTTATTATATAAAACATTTAGAGCTGACAACAATTTCATTCAATGTTAAGGTATGGAATTATAGTTGCTTCCAAAAATGTTCTATAAAATCAAATGGTAATTTTGGATATATTTTTTTTCAAATAGTATTTTTACTTATGTCAGTTTCATGTTATCTTTCAATGTTCTTTAATAATCGTACACAAATATTAAACATATCAAAAGTGACATCACAAGTGATCAAGTATCAAACAAGCATTACCATATCGAAATATTAATAATTTTTAAGAGGTGCTACCTTCTTTCGTAACATTACAATTCTCCAAAGAAAAGAAAAAAAGATTGATTTTATTTATTGACGATCTTGAATCTAAATGAACAACGTTTGTCACTATTTGAATTAGAAGCACGATGCTTTTGCTTTGCCGCCGTCGCAATGGCATGAAAGAGGCGGCAAGAATGGTGAAATAGTGAATAAAAAAACACCGCGCATTTAAATGACTTCTCAGCGTGATGCACTTTCGATATTACAAACAAACCGCAATTCTTTCTTGTGTTGCAGTTGCTCGTGTTCGGAATAATGGCTGTGGCTTTGGCATCGCCAGTACCGGGTCATCATCAGTAAGTAGTTTTAATAGTTACTTGGATTTTGTCTAACCAAATTGAATTTTGTCATATTCTATTTCTCTGAGAATTATACTTGTGTGATATAATAAAATAAATAATAAAAGATATCGAATAAGTGAACACGGTGTAACATACAGAATAATTGTGTGATTTCAGACATGTCGTTATCCACGTGCCCTACAAGGTGCACACAATTCATCACACCCACGTAAAGAAGGTACATATACCAGTGCATCACGTTGAAAAGGTACCTGTTCCGTATCCGGTGCACCACGTCGAGAAAGTGGCCGTTCCAGTACCGGTGCATCATGTCGAAAAGGTGCCCGTACCTGTCCCGGTTGTACATAAGGTTCCCGTACCCGTCCATATACCAATCCATGAAGAGAAACATGACTGGTACTAAAAAGAGCGCTTTATCTTCGGCTTTAATCGTTTTAGGTTTGTACAATTTATTTATAATTTAAATGCAATTATAAAATCTATGTGTCAAAACTACAGCAATCAAAAAATATTTTTCTAAAACTTTAAATTAACTTTATATTAAATTTTATATTAAAACTTTTAGTTTTTTTTTAATATTTCTCAATACAATATAATTCAAACTTTATTTTACGTTCAATAAATCTCTTTCTTTATTAAAACTGTGAAAGTAGCATCTCATAAAAATATCTACATTATTATTATCATTCTTTGATAAACTTTTAATGTGAGAATATAATGTTCTAATTTACAAAATCATGAATTTCTTATTAACGGTTTTCAGATTACAAGATAGAATAATCAAGAGTTAATAAGATTTAATCGCTGCGGATAAGTTGGTTGCGGATGTGTTGATAAGAAGCTTTCTTGTCGAATTCAAAGAAAAGGACAAAACACCAAGCAGTACAAAATTATTCGAGCCTGTCTATGCAGCATTTGAGCATTTAGCATAAGAATAATAAATACTTTGTATGCACGCGTGTGTAGTCAAAACAAAAATACTTGTATATATTTTATCACATTGCAATGTCATTATTTTTATATAATAAATGTTTAATAAAAAGATCTTAAATGTGAATATTCATTCCTTTTGCTTTTGTACAATAATTACATTTTCAAAAATCTATGTTTCAAAAATTTTACCATTATCATTTTCTGATCACAAGTTTGTCATAATATATAAAACACGAGATAAAATACTTTTTGAAATTATATGTAAATTAAACAAAAACCAGAAATTATGCAAATAATTTTAACGAAGTTGCAGTAAAAAAAGATATGTATGTTTTTAATAATCCATTTTTTTTAAATTTGTTTATATAAAATTTTTTTTCTATGTACAGGTATATTTATAGATATTATATTTCCAAAAATATGTAGTTTTTTATGATTTAACAGTAATACTTTGCAAATTTGTGCAAAATATTTAACTTTTAAGATAAAAAGAAAATAACTTTGCATTTCCCTATTTATTTGCAAAATTGCAAATTGAAAATGACCGAAATACAGTTCTTAGTATAATTATATAATAAATATAAAATAAAAAGAAAGAAGTAATAGACAATATCAGTACTTCGCAGTAATGACTTGGAAAGTATGTGGAATAAATTTACTCACCAGTCGTTGTACTCCAACCAATTATATTCTCAATTGTTTTCACGCATGTCTTTACCTGGAGAAATAAATTTTACTAACTGTGAATTACCATACATTTTATTTATACTCATTATTACACAATGTTCATTTTTATTTTAATTAAAACATAATTGCAGCAAATTGCGTGAATAATTATATGACATTTTTAATAACTATTCAAATATTTTAAAAAACAAATGTTTCAATAAAGATTTATAAAATATAAATTGTAATAATAATAATAAATAAATAATTGTACTCACCAGCTAAAATATTGCTGGTTGCTTCAGTCTCCACACAAATTTCGTCTGTTGTGAGAATTACTCCATAAATTTCATCGAAGAATTGTTAAATACTAGAAATTCACATCTACAATTAGTTACGTGAATTACGTATGATAATCAACTCGCGCACTTCACTTTCTACACTAAAAAAATACGACAGTCACGGACGGAATTATGTCACGAAATTACAGAACACAAAAGGCAAACACGACACGCGAAATAAAACACGCTTCACATATCATGACATAATTGCAGCTATTATTGTCATCTTCCTTGTTAACGGCCATTTTGATATGCAAGTGATCAGAAATATCTTTCTACATGAAATTGCACCAATTTTAAATAATTCGGGACGCGCGCAATAACAGTCATGCATTACGATTATCTAAATGCATACACGCAGTTATTAAAAATTAAGACAACTTCATATTTAGGCTGCGTATCAATATTCACTGCCAGTACTGACAATTTATAGTTCATGTTACACTATACACTATACTGTATATAGGTTTTCAGCACTAGCGCATTTTGAAACGCCGTTATAATACAACTCGAGAAGAAGCGAGACAAATAATTTGGCGGAGGCACGGTATCGTCAGATATAAACACATATGTACATAACTAATAAATCTTAATTCTAGTAAGCCAATTTTTCAATACGTACTAATATTTAATGAAAAACATCACGCTCCGATCCTTTTGAGCAAACATAAGGACCATTTTGTATGTCTCTCCAGCATCAAAATTCATACCCACTCAATTGAGCAATCCATGATCCGCTTACCAAACAATCAACGAAATGCTCATGGCAAATAATACGATCCGGCAATCGCCCGTCACTTAAATCGACACTCCCGACACTCCCGAAAATACCCGATTAATCACGATGAACCGTTCACACTTCGCGTTCTACAATATAACGGCTGAAAGTGGCGCATGTAATGTCAAATGTATCGATATCGTATGTTTTCCAGCAAAGGACACAAGTTGACACAAATCGACACAAGTATCACTCTGTCTTTATTCGATATTCAATGAGCAACAGAGAGAATAATACTTTTGTGTCGCTCTTGTGTCTCTTGGTGGAAAACTACCACCGACGTTATGTGCGCCTCCAAACGGTAGTTAGCTTCAATTATTTTACCCGCGAATGCAAACTATCATAACGACCGAAGGGTGGCGCGCGTAGTATCAATTTTGATCATCGATCTATTTCGCTCTCTATTCTTCACTCTTTTTCCGCCATGACAGTATTTACTACGGAAGATGAGTAAGAACGCTCCGTGATTAATCACGCATTTTATCCGCATCAAAGCAAAACGAGTGTAAATTTTTCTCGGAAGAGCCGATTCAAGTAACGATGATTGCCGGAACATATTATTTACCATGAGTTCGCGATTAACAACGTTTCATCCATCAACGTGACGTAGATTGAAGCCGACAAACACATATACGACATGCATGCAAATATGACGGTTACAATTCATTCAAAAGGATCAAAACACGGTATACTTTTCGTCAAACGTAACATGCAGAAAATTTTGCTTGTCGAAATTAACTTGAATAATAATAATACCGAACAGTTTCCTCTCCATCTATTTTGCTCCAATATCATCGTATAAATAGCAGTGAGGTGATAACGCGTAGACAACAGCGTACGTACGCTACATTCGCCGCGTCTTAGAACACAAAAAACAAACTACCTCCCCCCGACATCGTGAGCTAGCGTCGGAATATTTACGCATACCACGAGAGTTGTTTTTATTTTTTATAACCTATAATATGGTCGCTGTTATTTACGTGCTATCATCTTGCTACCATTCATACAATGGCACTTGGAAAAAGTAGATGACAGCGGAAATCGCTCCATATTATTATTTCAAATAGTGATCGCGACAAATATTATAAGATTATTTACTACAAATTATTGCTGATTTACTGTTCATACAATTAATTAGCTTTCGTGATTACTGATTCAGTTATTTTTTTCCGCGCAAATATCTATAATTGTACTTATATATTTTATTCATTTGTTAATATGTGAGATGAACGCTTTAAAACGCAAATAAATCTTATTTTTTATATCTGGAAAGCGCAATAGTTTTTGAAAATACTTTAAATTTAGCATAACCGCAACCCGATGGCACTCAAAATTAATTGCAATTAAAAATTTCTCCACTGTTATTCTACTTAATTTACAAGTGTCAAATGGATCGTAGCTTCTTTCTCTCGTATGATTTCGTACTTTTCGCAAGTGTTTTCTTTGTCATGACGTGACAAAGTTTGGATCGGGAAATGAATGAAATCGGTCAGTGTCGTATAAAATCATAATCGTCGTATTTTCGCAAGTGAGTGCTATAAAGGAGCAGCCGTCGGTGGATAACTGAGAGGATGAGAAGGTCCAGGGGCACTAATGGAACAACTTTAAGGTGAGCGATAAATTTATTATTAACTTATCATTTGTTATTTGACATAATAATCATTTATTTTCAAGATTATTTTACGCAAATATTTTTAACATATCAAAATATTTCAAATATCCACTCTTAAAAAAGGTTATTTTGACGGTTATTTAAAATTAAAAAAATTGTATTAAAATATTTAGATTTCATAATCATTAAATTACTATAATAAATGCGCGCGCGTAGCACGCGCCTGTATTGTCCCGATCGGGTGTAATCATCAGGACCCGATCACTCTTGCCTGATCAGTTCCTTATCGAAGCCTTATTAATATTTTTACTCGGGTCCCGATTGGGTGTACTCATCAGGGTCTTATTAATATTTCCACTCGGAATCCGAGTAAAAATATTAATAAGGCCCCGATAAGAAACTGATCAGGTAAGGCTTCACTTAGTGATCGGGTCCTGTTCAGTACACCCAATAGAGACCTTAGATGTTTGTAAACGCAATGTCCCTATCGAGAACGGATGGGGCTACACTATTGCAACCTTAATTTTATTTAATCAAGTGATTCTTATGAGGTGATTATGAGGTATAGGCTTATTATTTATTGGATTATTAAATATTATAATATTACTATTATAATTATTAAATATTACGTCAGAAAATGTGTAATACTAATAATTTCGATAAAGTTTACATATTTTTATTTAACATAGCATTTTGATATATAGTATGTAATACATAACAAAACTGAACGAAATACTGATTATTGGATTTTAATCTATCATTGTGTTGCGATGCTTTTGACACGTACCATCTCAATACTTTACATTATAAAATATAACTTGAATCTTCAATTTCTTTTTTTGATAATACATTATAATGCGAGATAATATCTGAAATATCACAAAAATATTACCAAAAACAATTTTTGAAAAAAGAAATATAAAGAAAACATACTTTACTACAATTATATAAAGTTGTATATTTAAATTTTTTTTCCAGGTACTATTTTTATTGTAGTGAATCCTTTAGCTGCCTCGCAAAAATAATAATAATTAATAAACCATATAATCATTCGGGTTCCTGATCGGGACCCGATCGGGTTTTTTGGTCTGGACCCGATCGGGTTCCTGATCAAGACCCGATCAGATTTTTTGGTCGGGACCCGATCGGGTTTTTGATCGGGACCCGATCGGGTTCCTGATCGGGACCCGATCGGGATCTTGATCGGGTTTTTTGATCGGAACCCGATCGGGTGTACTGATCGGGACCCGAACGGGTGTACTCATCGGGTGTACCCGATCACTCTTGACTGATCAGTTCCTTATTAATTAGGATCCTTATCGGGTGATTATGAGGTTTATTAATTTTTATTATTGTTGTGAGGCAGCTAGAGGATTCACTACAGTAAAATTAGTGCCTGGAAAAATAAATTTTAAAATACAACTTTATATAATTGTAGTAAGGTATGTTTTCTTTATGTTTCTTTTTTTTAATATTGTTTTTGGTAATATTTTTGTGATATTTCAGATATTATCTCGCATTATAATGTATTATCATCAAAAGAAGAAATTCAAGACTCAAGTTATTTAATAATGTATGGTATTGAGATGGTACGTGCCAAAAACATCGCAACACAATGATAGAATAAAATCCAATAATCTGTATTTTGTTTAGCCCCGTCATGTATTACATACTGTATATCAATATGCTATGTTAATAAAAAATATATAAACTTTATTGAAATTATTTGTATTACATATTTTCTGACGTAATCTTTAATAATTATAATAATGATATTATCATATTTAATAATTAATAAGCCTATACCTCATAATCACCTCATAAGAATTACTCGATCCACTCTTTAAAAAAGGCATGAAAGATCGATACTCGAATGTATCGGAAGTATTGTTGATGCTTTTCCGCGACGCTGATTGGTTATCGCGATTATTCTGATAGTTTGATAGATTGAAAGCGAAGGTTATTTTGACGGTTATTTAAAATAAAAAATATTTAATAAAATATTTAGATTTCTTAATTATTAAATTACTATAATAAGTGCGCGCGCGTAGCGCGCGCCTGTATTGTTCTAGTTTAAATAAAAAATAGATTTTTTTTATAATTATGTAATAGTTTTATCAAATATTTGCTTAATGAACAAGTAAAAATTCAATACGCATATTATTGTTTAAATATTAATTATTTTGTACACTATTATAATTTGTATATAATTTTGTATTTTACAGATCAACGCCTTACAAAATTACAACTCTACTGTTGCGCATCATATGTCGGTGAGTCAAGATCAAATTATTTTTATTTTAATATAAAGTGATGGATACAATGATCGATGAGAAAATTTATTCATTATATTTATATAATTAGATAAAATGCTGATATTATTTACTAATTATTTGCCAATATTTACTGTGGAATTGTTAAGAACTACATTTTGACAATCATTGTCTGCGATATTTGCATTTTTACAAGTAAATAATAAGATACAAAATATTTTTTACCTTAATAGTAAAAGTTTTTAAATTTTGCATAGACATGCAATTTTTTATTCTGTAATTATAAAACTTTTAAAATATAAGTTATGTAAATATATAAGTAGAAAAGAAAATTTGAATTAAATTTAAAAAATTTTTAATTAATTTTTGAAAGTATAATGTTTAAAATAATTTTAACGTGCAATTGTTAAAGTACGGAAGTGCAATTTTTTATTGCTACGACAGGAAAATAATGATTTGATAAAATAATTGATACATTAGAATCACTTTTAAATGGCTTTGTTAAATGCCATAGTTGCAGCACAATATACATCTTATCTCGTATTAAAAATTAATAATAATTTGTTAAAATGAGTATAGAATTCATATATTACTTATCTTTAAAATTTTTATTTATTTTTAAAATTTTTGTAGTGATAAGATAAGAGAATTACGGGAGAAAAGGGGAAAGAATATTGATTTTTTATTGCTATTCTGCAAAATCAACAATATAAAACAAAATGTAAAACAATAACAGTTGCCGTCAAAATATCATTACGCGGCAATAACTTAAAGTTCTTAAATCAGGAGCTGTGAAACGAAGTAATTTACCAGTAATTTACCAGTCATCATCATGCTCGTGATGTTTATGATGATGGTGTGATTTCACTGGTATGTAAATTTTTTTCACATGCGTGTGATGATGCTTGTGAATGTGATGCGGCACGTGAATGATGAAGTGCGTGCTAAAAAACAATTTTATCTTAATGAGTCTGTTGTACAATATCATATATTGAAATTTAAAGCGTACCATCTAATCAAATTAACGGAACGGTAATTTAATGAAAGAGAGAGAGAGAGAGAAAACTTACTGATCGTGATCTCCAGGATGCGGCATCGTTGATACCAATGTCATTGTGACAGTGAGTAAAAGTAAAACCTGAAACAAAAAATGTTATATGATATTAAAAAATGTTTTACTTATTACCATTATCCATTTGTTTTGTTATACGTTAAAAATTAACAAAGATGCGCTTACGATTTAATGATCACGTTAAGATCATAGATCATATCTTTTTTACTAACGATAGGGAAAGCGTATGCTTTGGGACGTTAACAATGTAGGAAACGGAATAAAGTGGAAACTCGATAGTGATCGAGCAGATGAGTCGTAAATTGGTGCTATTAGGTGAAACTATTCGGAGGTAATAAAAAGTCATTATAGTCAACTTGATGCTCTTCGAAGCATTTTTTATACATATTTATTCACTTGTATATGTGCAAAAAACATATATATGCATTAAATATGTATATACATGAAAATACTTAGTTACAGATCATTAAGTAATAATGAAAATTAAGTAAAAATGCTTATATTATTTTTCTATAAATGCAATATATAAAAATTTCATTGTATTAATCATAAATTTCTTAACAAAAATCTTTAAATTAACTAAAAAAAACTGTATATAAATTTTTTTTTAATAATCTATATAGGTAGTTTTCCACCAAGAGACACAAGCGATACAAAAGTATTATTCTCTCTGTTGCTCATTGAATATCGAACAAAGACAGAGTGATACTTGTGTCGATTTGTGTCAACTTGTGTCCTTTGCTGGAAAACAACCATAAATTATTTTCTTATTACGAAAGAAAAAAGGAAAGCGATAGTTAAGTCTACACAAAACAGCTTTGACAATATTTTTATATAAGATTTGACTGAAAACCTGTCATTTTTTAAAAATAAAATTTAATATAGATAAAAAGTATGTAAACATTTGATACAATTTTTATCTGAAAAATAATAGTTCTTTATTCCTAACTGTTGCGTATCCAAAACTATCGCTTCTTGCTAGTATTTGTCACAAAATAAAAGAAAGTTTCTCTTTCAATGAAAAGTTGAGCAATAAATCAAATTTTTGTTTATAGGACAAGTGCATTTGTATTCTTCAAAAATATCTGTAACTTTGATTTTTTCTTGTCATCTTTTATTTTAAAAGACAGCAAAATTCAAACATGATAAATATCCGTAAAATAAAATTCTCAATAACAAGCATTAACTAAACGTTTTGGAAACTGATTAAATTTGTTCTGTTTACACTTAAATGTATCGCAAATTATAGATACGTATCAAGTGAGCTCCATCATCTACTTTAAGTGAGATTATTATAATCATCATATTTACACGTGTTAAAAAATAAATAAATATAAAATTGTCACATTTACGCGTGTTTTCGAGATAAATTGTTTTGTCTCACCCGATTAAACGAATAGACATCACTAAACAAATTCACACTTGGATTTGACACCCACATGCATTCCGAGCTTGACCATGTTTGCGCGTGATTTATGTCCAATTCTTCTAAGGCGACGACCGTGCGGTGACTAAGAGTCTCTTTCACGGCCAGCCTTATAAACGGAAACATAATCAGTGAACGGTATACAGAAAACAGTTCCTGGGTGCCGTTATCTCACCCCACTTGGGATCACTCTCACTTAAGTGGTTATACGAAACCACACGAAACCTCACGTGCGGTCGTGCGCGCGTCACGTTGTCGTTAACACGATTTGCGTAGATTTCCTGTCGCAATTTCAGTTGTTCACGCTTCAGTTGATGAGTATACTAGTGCCTTTCTCAAATACTTACTCTGCTCTCTATGAAATTATCTGCTTCAGAAATGTCGAATTATGCGGAAAAAGGTAGAGCCGGAAGTTCATCGAAATTTCTCCTCCGTAATCGACGTATTATTTTCTAAAGAATGAAAGCAATTAAACTGGTTTTATTTCTTATTAAATTCGACGGTGACAGTATTAGAAAATAGAAAATTAGAAGATTATAAAGGGAATATTTATGATTAAACAATCTTTTTTTATGATTCAAGTGAAATCGATTTATTGCAACTATTCAGGTTACATGAATTACGTTACTTTACGAAAAAGCGATTGCGAAGAATTCTGGTTTTCTTTAAATGCATATTGTTTCTTATTTGTTAAATTTTTGACGAAATATTCGCTTACTTCACCTATTACACAGATTAGATATATCACGGTTGAATAATCGATTCTCTACTCTATTTATGCAAGCATATTTATATGCATCAAACTCCATGCAATCAATCGAAGATATTACATTGTATGTTTTTACAAACCGTGCACTTAAAACGTGTAATTCCTTCTTATGCTATACATTTTTATAATCAATGTTTATTTATTTTGTTTCTGTAATGGTATTTTATTGGCAATATTGATGTTAAATTGATATACTTTACGAAACATATCTTGCTGCGCTCTCGTTACTTCCTTGACTTCCGTGTCGTAATTTCTAATTTTTTTTTAATGAAGAGAAACTAAGCATTATGTTTTTATCGCAATTTTTTGCGGATTAATAAGCACAAGGTCCATATCTATTTTAACATTTTGCGATTCGTGTACTTATATACATTTAGGCATATGAGTGAAATCGTGCGATTCACATATTTATCATATGATTGGTTCTTTCACTTTCCGCTTACTTTCCATTGCTAATCCAACGTCAATATGCTTTTACGATCCCATAATTACTATTTTATTACGATGTCCTTTAAGATGTTTATAATCGAAGCACTTCACGTGCTTTACAAAATTGATGTCTATTTGAGAACGAACTTATACGTTGCAAAACATTATTTCTTATAGAACATAAATTAAATAACCCAATAAATGGCTTATAGAATATCATTAGAGAAAGAAAATTAAAATTAAGATAAATGTTTTTTTACATTGTAATAATTCTTATACATTTTGTTGAAATAAAAAATTATGTTTTTATTATATATATTTTAAACAAAAATATTATACTAAACTAACAAGATGTTTATTTAAATATTGAAATAACTATTTAAAAAACAATAAAATAAAACATTGAAATTATACAATTGTGTTAAAAGTAATAAATCTTCGTTACTATTAATATAAAGCGTAAACGCCGTGTTCTAGCCACCTGAAATACAGGTAGATACCTTGGGTTGCATATTTCCAAAGGATAGACTTTGTTTGTGACTTATTTTTCTGAAAAAGTTTCTGTCGAAATTATGAAGATTACAAAAATTTATTTTATTCTATTTATTATGCATTTTATTCGTGATATTTTTCTTTTATAAATTATAGAAATCTAAAACAAAACAGAGAAAAGTTAAAATTTGAATTACATTTTTGAACATCGAATAATTTACAATTGTCTCAAAAAATATCTTGTTTTAACAAAAAAATAATATTGATTGCTTTGCATTGAGTTACAAATATAGTTATTGTCATCGTCCAACATTTGACATTATCTGCTAACAACTGTTTTGCGCTTTTATGCACTGAAAAAAATATTCTACACTGAAAAAAAGGATTAATTATAATAATCTAAACTTGGTAAAAATTACTAAGAACTTTGGTGACATAGTTTCAACTAAACATATTGGTAATAATGACAAAATAATTTGGTTAATGTTAACAAATAATTGTAACAAAATTTAATACGACTCGGTTAATATTGGCAAAGTTTGATGATTATTAACAAGTAATGATAAATATTATCAAAGAATTTGATAAGTATAAACAGATTATTTTGTAATAATTATCGAAGTGTTTGGTAAATATTACAAAACTATGTGTACTAATTATAACGAAACGATTTGTAAATATAAACGAATTGTTCAGTAATAATTACCAAATTATTTGACATTTATCATAAAATCATGTAATAACTATAACTAAATGATTGTTAACATTAACCAAATTATTTTGTCATTATTACCAATATGTTTAGTTGAAAA